CCTTCATAAAGTTAAAAAGTGTAACAGCAATCAATTCAAGGCAAATATGCTGATTAAAGTAATACCTGATGGAGCACTGATGAGACCTTTGCTTCAGAATAAATTACATTTACGCCAAAAAAAAAAGAACCACCTTTTTTCCCCCCGGACAAGTGAATAACACATGTTAAAGCTCAATGTCGAGCCCTGGGATTAATTAATCAAGCTAATTAACTACAGATGATAATAGTGTCATTATTCAGATCAATTAATTTCAAGTTTTGTTCTCATCTGAACACAAAAGAAGATATTTTGAAAAATCTCTCTGTTTCTAATAGAATAAAAACGCAAATAGTGTGTACTTTTGAAATATTAAAATAGTCCAGTATTAAAGGAACACGTCACTATTTTTGAAAATAGGCTCATTTTCCAGCTCCTCTAGAGTTAAACAGCTGAGATTCACTGTTTTCGAATCCATTCAGCCGATCTCCGGGTCTGGCGGTAGCACTTTTAGCTTAGCTTAGCATAGATCATTGAATCTGATTAGACCGTTAGCATCTCGCTCAAAAATGACCAAAGAGTTTCTATATTTTTCCCATTTAAAACTGGACTCTTCTGTAGTTACATCGTGTACTAAGACTGACGGGAAATTAAGAGTTGTGATTTTCTCGGCCGATATAGCTAGGGACTATACTCTCATTCCGGCGTAATAATCAAGGAGCTTTGCTGCCGTACCGTGCACCGCAGCAGGCGCAATGATATTACACAGCGCCTGAAAATAGGCTAACTTCCGTCAACATAACCAACGTGACCACCTGCTTGCACAGGGAGCGTGCTGGGGACTATTTTCAGGCGCTGCGTAATATCATTGCGTAACATCAACGGTCTAATCAGATTCAATGATAAACACTCATTATTAATATTAAAACACTCATACGTACATAATCACTTTTGATTGGAAATCACCACAAATATCAAACCATTAATTTTCACTAGTCAGAGTGATACTGCAGAGCCTGAGCACACGCTGACCTCTGACCTCTGACCTCAGGTGGTCATCAACTACTCCATAGTGAAGGGTCTGAAGTATAACCAGGCCACGCCCACCTTCCACCAGTGGCGTGACGCGCGGCAGGTGTACGGACTCAACTTCGCCAGTAAAGAGGAGGCCACCACCTTCTCCAACGCCATGCTGTTCGCCCTCAACCTGCTCAGCAGCCAGGACGGAGGTAAGACAGAAGAAGGGCAAGAAAATAATTACAATTAAAATGAAGTGACCTGACATGAGGCATGAAGAGAAAATCCTCACCGTACTCTTACATAAGCAGTGGCGTCTCACACACACACACACACTCTCTCTCTCATACTCACACACACTCACACTCACACACAAGGACGCATTAAATTGATTAAAAGTGTCAGTATAGACATTTATAATCTTACAAAAGATTTCTATTTCAAATAAATGCTGTTCTTCTGAACTTTCCGTTCATCTGTGAATCCTGAAAAATACAATGTATCACAGTTTCTACAAAAATATTAATGTTTTCAATATTGATAATAAACAGATCCATTATTAATACCAATAATAACTAATTATTCAAACGTTTGAGCAGTAGTGCTGATCTGCTGCTCGAGAAACATTTCTGATTATTATCAATGTTGAAAACTGTTGTATATTTTTTTATTTTATTTATTTATTGGGATTAATAATGGTTTTGTTTGTTTTGAAAAGATATGAACTCTTTTATTCATCTTGTCACATTCCTCAAACTGCTCCTGGTCTCTTTCAGGTCCAGCTGTTCAGCGTCCAGTCCAGAACGGGCCGGGTTCAGAAGAACTGGAGGTCCAGAGACGGTGAGCCGCACAAACACACACACTGCTGTAATATCTGACTATAGATGACCGTCTCGTACTGTATAATCACATTCACACGCATTATTTACATGCAAGTCTTCAGCTAGAGCCCAATAAAAGAACAGGGCTTTGTCCAGAATAGCATTTAAACACCACACTCATCTCTCTGCAGTGTGTTCACTGTCTTATCAGTGTTGAACACAGTCGTGCTGCACAATATTTGTGTGGAAACTGATGCATTGTATTTTTCAGGATTCACAGATGAACAGAAAGTTCAGAAGAACAGCGTTTATTTGAAATAGAAATCTTTTGGAACATTCTAAATGTCTTTACTCTCACTTTTGATCAATGTAATGCGTCCTTGATTAATAAAAGTATTAATTTCCAGGTGTTCACTCTGATGCAGTGATGAGAGTGAAACACACACACAGTCGCCCTCTGCTGGTCACAGGAAGCAGCCGCTGCATGATGAAGCTGTTCTACCGTCCCATCATGCATCTGGAAAATTCCATTTCCACTGTTCAGCTCTTATACACTTCCCATATCAGGAAACTCACGAGGATCCGATCGATTCCCATCATATCGCTGTCAGACTCGTTATTAGATCAGATATAAAACACGGCACCATGTTCCCAAAAAAACCAATTAATGCTTTTATTCATCAAGGACACATTAAATTAATTAAAAGTGAGAGTAAAGACATTTAGAATGTTACAAAAGATTTCTGTTTCAAATAAACGCTGTTCTTCTGAACTTTCTGTTCATCTGTGAATCCTGAAAAATACAATGCATCAGTTTCCACACAAATATTAATGTTCTCAACATTGATAATAATCAGAAATGTTTCTTGAGCAGCAGATCAGCATATTATACTGATTTCTGAAGATCATGTGACACTGAAGACTGGAGGAATGATGCTGAAAATACAGCTGCACATCACAGAAATACATTACAGTTTAACAGATATTCATATAGACAACAGCTGTTTGAAATTACAAAACTATTTCACCATTTTTAGAGTATTTTTGATCAAATAAATGCAGCCTTGCTGAGCAGAAGAGACTCCTTCAGAAACATTAAACGTTAAATTCTTACCTCATTGAGCGCTAGTGTGTGAGGTCTGTGTGCAGTGCATGATGGGTATATCAGTGTGTGTTTATGTGTGTATTTAATCTCCGCAGGCAAATGGAAATGCAGCAGCAGCAGATGCAGGTGCATATCGAGCGGGAGAGACGATCGTCCAACTCAGGTCAGACGCGACTGAAACTCATGAACTCTGTTGGTTTCTGTGTGAAGCGCTATAGAAATAAATGACGTGTTATTTCCTCAGGTTCCCCGTTTCAGGGTCACCCCGCGGTGCTGTCTGTAGCTCCTCCCAGTGTGGCTCCGCCTCCTCTGTCGATGGGCGGTCCCTGTCCTCCTCCTCCCCCGCCCGGGCCGCCGCCCCCCTCCGCCGGAGCTCCACCCCCTCCTCCGCCTCCTCTGCCTGTGATTGGGTACGGGGGTCACGCCCAGGACGATAGCCACGCCCCCACGGGTCTCGCCGCCATGATCGCCGGGGCCAAACTGCGGCGCGTGCAAAGGGTCCTTATTCGCCATTCATTTTCCTCATAGGGATTTTAAAAAGTCTTTGTTTAGGAGATATAATCCATGAACCGAACCAATCAGATACAAGGAGAATCACAAACTTTTATTTGAAGCGAAAAAAGTGTTTGAGAATCAGGCAAGGAAAGAACTTTTGTACGTTTGTGGAATATAAAACTATTCATTTAAAGTTGATATATTGTAGGTTTATTGCATAATATGCATATATAAATATTGAAATAATTTGGGACTCAATTATTGGTGGTGCTTCGTGGCAGTGGGCGGAGCTTTTGCGCATTTACTCTCCGATTGGTGGAATTTTTCCTGTACAGCATCATGGGTAATGTAGTTTTTCACCACAAATTTAGCTGTTAAATGCAGTTATTTTAAAAATAAATGGCTTCAGTGAAAGCGTATACCATCAAATAACAGCCTTGTCGCTCTTTAATAAGTTTGGACAGCATTTCACATGAGGAATGCACATTAAGAAACTCGACTGAAATAATAGATTTAAATAAAAGTCTGATAATCAGCGTGTGGCTTTGGCTGTGTGTCCGCAGCCGGAGGAAAACTCAGCGTCCGGAGCCAAAAACGAGGCCAACCGGAGCAGCGGAGGACTGATGGAGGAGATGAACGCTCTGCTCGCGCGCAGGTACAGATACAGCTATAATGCACGCTAATCACAAACACACACCTGTAACACACACACGCATGCTTTACTTCTCACCACAGACGGAGAGCAGTAGATGAGAAGAAGGATGGAGAAAGCCAAAGTGTGAGTACAGACTGGCCGATCTGAAGCGAGATCTTTTATGACACAGACACTTTAAGGTTCAAAGTTTAAGGACTAAGGTTTGTGTCTAGTTGTTTGCCGCTGAATGATGCTGATGTCTTTCAGGACGATCCCGCGTGCCGTGGACAGAACGCCGCAGGTACGCCGATTATTATCTTCATCTGAATGAGAGCAGTGCAGTAAATGGTAAATATGGATGCTGAAGTCAGGTGTGGTGTGTTTCGTCCCGCAGACGGTGTGAAGAAGCCGTGGGACCGAGCCAATTCTGCGGAGAGATCGTCACTGGTGTCCAGGTGCAGCACAACCCATTCAAGATTCAGTCAAAGCACACACCTACTGGATTCTTACAGGACTTTAGGGGAGCGTTCAGCCGAAAATGATCGTTCCAAACACAAAAGACGATATTATGAAGAATGTTGGGCAGCAAGCACTTTGACTTCTATAGTGACTAGAATTCTTCAAATATCGTCTTTTGTGTTTGTTGCAATGACCTTTTGGATTTTTTATCCCGTAGCAGAAACAAGCTTTCATAAGTTACTGATAATTCAAGTGTGTGTAATATTATAAAATATAATACCTATTTTAAATACGAGGCAGGACGTACTGTACAAGCGCTTCATTACGGTCCGAAGGGACGAGCAGGAGTGTGTGTGAGCGGGTGTGATGTGATGAATGCAGTGCTTGTGTGTGTCTTCAGGGTTCGACCCGTGGGCAGCTTCAGCGACTCCGACGCGTTAGACTTCGACAGGATGAAACAGGTAATCAATGACATACCCGTACAGGTTTTATTCATATATTAACATTTATTTTTAGATTTTCATTTTAGATAGTATTTTAGCAATTTAGTTGTTTCTTTGTCGTTTTTGTTAATATAATATATATATATTTTTTTATAATTAATTCGTTTTGTTGATTCCTTGGCAGTTTCCTAAATTTTTTTTCTGTATTCTATTTTATTCTATAATGTTTTTTTGAGTACTTTCAGTTTTAGTTGACTATAATAACCCTGCTTTAAATGCAGACGATGTTTTAATTGACAGGAAATCTTGGAAGAAGTGGTTCGTGAACTGCACAAGGTGAAGGACGAGATCATCGATGGTATGTTTATTCAGCTTTCCCGTCGCTCAAACAGCAGATCAAGACGCCTGCAACACCAAAGTCATGGGTTCGGTTCCCGGGGAATGCAAGAAATGATAAAAATGTAAAATGTGTTCCTTGAATGTGGTGTAAGTTACTTTGGAGAAAGCACCTGCCGAGTGCAGATATGTGTCCCTGCAGCACAAAAGCAGTGTTGAGTCGCTGGGGGATATTTGTAGCAATAGCCAACAATACATTGTATGGGTCACAATTATACATTTCTCTTTTATGCCAAAAATCATTAGGATATTAAGTAAAGATCATGTTCCTTGAAGATATTTTGTAAATGTCCTACCGTAAATATATCAAAACTTAATGTTTGATTAGTAATATGCATTGCTAAGAACTTCATTTGAACAACTTTAAAGATGATTTTCTCAATATTTAGATTTTTTTGCACCCTCAGATTCCAGATTTTCAAATATTGTGCGATCCTAACAAACCTTACATCAATGGAAAGCTCGTTTATTCAGCTGATGCATACATCTCAATTTCACAAAATTGACCCTTATGAAAACATGTAAACAAACGTGTGACGACTTGCCCCGGTCTGTGAGTCCTGATGCCCGCCAGTGTGTTTATATTCTGTGTTGTGTAATGCACTCCTGCGAGAATGACTGTGCTCTGCTTTATTCCCAGCCATTAGACATGAACTCAGTCGAATCAGCACCACATAGTGTCCATCGAACCCCTGCGGACCCTGCTGTAGCCGACGCCGGACGTTACAGCCGTATCAAACGCTGGTGTTAACTCGTCTGCAGGGTCGAGGGGCCCCGGGCGGAGCGGTGCTGCTGAAGGAAGGACACTTGCACTGATTTTGGTGTCAGTCTTTTCAGAAACTGAAGAAAACGGAGCAAACATCCGGAGTCCTTTTCATTTGTCTGCATTATTGTTATTATTATTGTTATTATAGGTACAGTTGTGTAGTAGTAGTGTTGTCATGTAGGTAGAGGAATTAATAATAATACTAATAATAATGATGATGATATCATTGCTCATGACTTCTTAATTTTCCTCAAGATTGATCCTGAGCACATTTCTTTTGCCATAATGCTGTGTTTAAAGACTGGAGGAGGGTGCCTGGAGCTATTATCTGAAGAACAAGCATCTCACAGCACAGTGTTTGTGATCATGTTGTTAAGCAAGTGTTTATCGGCTGCAGGACATGCAGTACTGTTCTGTTATGATTTCTCTTTATGACCAAGTGCTTCCTGGTTTGAAAAAGATACAAAATAAAAGATATACATGACGTTCAAAAAGAAGTGAAATAAAGTGAAGGAGGAGGATTCGTGTGAAATAAAAGCCTTTCAAGCTGAAATCGGTTCTGTGTGGATCAGTGACAGAAGCACATGGATCTGTGGGTGTCATCTGAACCTGATGGAGAGCTAGTGTCTGCTGAGATGCTCAGTCTGGATTAAAACACAGACTTTAATAATCACATTAAAAACACATACAATGGTACATTTATATATTAACGTATTGTCAATTTAGAGCTTTATAAATATCATGCATGAGGAAAAACCAACAAACGTTTAAAAAAAATAATGAAAACCATCTGAAAATTGTTTCGATATTGAAAAATAAAAACTACACGCATATAAACCAATACATTGATATAGTAAATAATGATAAAAATCGTATTTTAATATATTTACAGTGAAATCTGGATTTAAAAATAATAATAATTACATAAACACAAATGAATACAGTACAAGGTACAAACAAGCCACCTATAAAATAAAATAAAATAAACTAAAATAAGGTACAGCCATCTGCGTGCCCGCCCTCCTCTCGCGAGATTTGGCAGTGGCGACGTGAATTCACGTGAGAAGTGGAGAGTTGTTTGTGTTGGCGGAGTGTGCGCGCTGTGCGGGGCAGCGAAGGCGGGCGAGCTGGCGGACCTCATCATGGCATCCGGCGAGACGCTGTACATCGAGGCGGACGGCTCGGAGATGCCCGCGGGGCTCGTGGAGCTGCACGAGATCGAGGTGGAGACCATCGAGACCACGGTGATGGACGACGACGAGCAGGAGCCCAGGATCGCGCTGCAGCCGCTGCTCACAGACGACCCGAGCCAGCTCCACCAGCACCAGGAGGTGATCCTGGTCCAGACCCGCGAGGAGGTGGTCGGCGGCGACGAGTCGGAGCTCCAGGAGGACGACGGCTTCGAGGAGCGGATCCTCATCCCGGTGCCCGCCGAGGAGCACTACATCGGGCAGACGCTGCTGACAGTCGCCGGCAGGAGCTCCGCGGGGCGGCTGGGGAAGAGAGCGGCGTCGGGGGGCAAGAAAGCGGGCAAGAAGAGCTACCTGAGCGCGGCGGAGGCCTGCGGGAGGAAATGGGAGCAGAAGCAGGTGCAGATCAAGACTCTGGAGGGCGAGTTCTCCGTCACGATGTGGGCTTCGGGTGAGTCTCCTTCCCTCGGAGGGACAGCGGGGCCCTCAGCAGGGCGTTGTCCGTCCGCAGCGCGTGCCGTTCCGCGGTCGCTCCTCGCCGCGAGCGCTGTCTGCAGCGGCAGTGCGGGCGCATCCGACCGGGTGTTTTTGTTTTGAACGGAGGCCATGTTTTTAGCTCTCGATGGGCGCCGCCATGTTCCCCGAGTCCAGTATGGCGGCCCGTAAAGATGGCGACGGTGCGGCGGCTTGAAGAGGGCGCGAGCGCGCTGCAGCTGCCGCGTGTAGGCCGCGAGACCGTTAAAGACCGTTAAAGGGGCCGTTCACATATCGCGTCTCTTGCGCGCTCAACTTCGTTATTTCAAATGTAGACGCTCATACTGGAAGCGACGCGCTGATGTTTTCCAGGCATCCAGATAAACACATCTCAACTTTTCAGAAAGCCGCAAGCGCACCGCGGGTCATGTGACAAGAACCAACCAATCAGCTTCATCCTTTCCCGTAACAACATTGAAAGCGCAGCCAAGATGAAGGAACAGCTGATCATAGCTGTACAGGGATAGACATTTTTAAAATAAATTTAGTAGTAGAGCTACTGCAAGCCAGTTTTAGTGTTCGTTATTTCAAATGTAGACGCTCATACTGGAAGCGACGCGCTGATGTTTTCCAGGCATCCAGATAAACACATCTCAACTTTTCAGAATGCCGCAAGCGCACCGCGGGTCATGTGACAAGAACCAACCAATCAGCTTCATCCTTTCCCGTAACAACATTGAAAGCGCAGCCAAGATGAAGGAACAGCTGATCATAGCTGTACAGGGATAGCCATTTTTAAATAAATTAGTAGTAGAGCTACTGCAAGCCAGTTTTAGTGCTGCTAATCCATTTCCCCGTTGCTGAAACTTCCGCGTCTTCATGGAGAGCGCAGGTCATGGTTGCTTAGCAACGGCAGACGCCTCCCACGCGCCCGAACGCTTTGGGGGAAAGCAGAAAGCGGCGCGTCTAGCGTATTCCACGCGTTTTAGGCGCGACATGTGAATGGCCCCAAAGACCGTTAAACGTTTGAATTTCGACTTCGGCGGGAAGCGCGCGCGCCTCTTCGGATTTAGATCTCCGTGCAGGTGTGGCGCTTGTTTGTTTGTTTCTAACGTTTAGAGCTGAAACGAGCTTCCAGCGCGCGTGTGTGTGTGTGTGTGTGTGT